AGAGAGAGAGAGAGACGACGTGGGGCAGGTCCCCTTCTAATAATGTCATTGTCGGATTTCACTGACAGCACGTGCCGACGATTTACCTGCTGACCTGCTGACGCCGACCACTCCGATCAACCTTCCACCGTGCGCGCATCACTGAACGAAATTTGATTTACTGTCACGTTCCAGTTGTATGCGAAAGCATCTCTCAACGGAGGAATTAACGCTATGAGACCATAATACAAACAGTATCAATATAGCGATTGAAATTCGCATTCGCAAATCCGCGGAAAAATAAACTACATTTTTTTCAGTAATATTGAAGATATTTCTTCAAAGCATTACTAAAAAAAACTGCAATATTAAAACATCGAAATATTAACAGATAGTTTATTATATCTTAATAATACGATAAATAGCGAAATTTTAATAAGTTTTAAAAATATTGAAAAATTGAAAAAACATACTGTTGAATTAATTTTTGTTATCATCAAAGTGTTTTTAGCTTCAAATAATTACTAGAATATGAGTTTTTTCCGTGTTTATTGCAAATAAATCTTTGAAAATTTTTACAAATAATTTTGCAATATTTCCAAACTTTTATTAAACACAAAATATGAAAATATAAAAATATGAAAATTGAGAAAAATCTATTTCTTTCAATTTCAGATAAATGGAAATGGCGTTCTCTCATTCGCTAGGACTATGCAAAGATTTTTCAATATTGCGTTCCCTCTTGATGACCCAGTCATTTCGCCTCTTTATACACACGTTGATACGAGAGCTTCTGGAACGATTTATTGGAGCGAAACAGATTCTTCTGAAATTCTCGCTAGAGCCGGAGGACTGGTTCGAAGTGCTTTTAAGGATGCCATTGATTTTGTGCCTACACATGTTTTCTTGGCTACTTGGGTAGACGTTGGTTATTACAATGAGCGAAATGATAAGGCAAGTTATCGCCTTATTGTTGAAAATTTTCTGATTTTTTTTGTCAAATAAAATTTCATATAATAGAAAGAAAAATGTTAACAATATTTTATTGATTTTTAAGATTATATTTAAAATTAAATATCTTTCCTTTATTTGAGAAAAATGAGAAGGAAAGATAAACGCATATAATAAACTTTTTCGTAAATACATAGTCGAATAGCATCGTTCATAGAGTCGCCTTTCAGGTGAATACTTATCAAGTCGCTATATCATCCAACGGTACGCATTCCTTTGTTGAACTACTATACCCGGAAAATGGTATACAGTGGATTCAGGGTGAATCGCATCCCAACGGTCTCCCAGATGCCAAGGCGCAGGCAGGATTCATGAGCGAGGGCAAAATGTATACCCTGAGGGGCTCGGGCACGGACCAAATTCAGAATGTCGACAAGTGAGTAATGGGGAGTGTGGAGGCGCCGGCTGTATTCACGTGCGACGTATTCATGGGCCTTTGTAATTGTTTTCAGGTGGTCGAATGTAAATCGGCCTGGCCAGTGGGTGTTTCAAGTCGGTCCCATCGATGAAGGTGAAAATGTGAAGACTCCCGATAATATCGAAGGTAACAAGTATAAAGTAATCATATGATAAAATACATAATAAAAGATATGAAAATATACTTATTTAAATGACATTTTAAATTTAAAATGTCAATGGCTCGGTAAATTAATGTACAGGTAAAAGTTTAAAATAATCTCGTTTGACGGTTTCTATGTTCTGTTTTATATGATTCATATAACCTGCAATAAAACGATTTGAAAATCGCAAAACCGAATGTTATCTCAGATGTTGTTCGAATTAAGCAATAAACCCTTGTTAGACACGATGACTATGCATCAAGCGGCCAGCTGCAGAACCGGCGCCACCACTTGCCACAGCAAAGCGACCTGCATTGATTACGAGATCGGATTCTGCTGCAGTTGCAAGCAGGGCTATTTCGGCAATGGGAAATCCTGCCAACCAAACGGTGAGCTATTTATCAACGGTGTTTGTCGAAATCTCACGTGTTCGTTGTGAGATAAGTTGTGAGCTTGAACTAATGGCATACAAACGCGGCCTTTGAAGTATTCTTGAAACCTGATAAAGAAGAGATCTTTCAGCGTTTCCCCTCTAAACTCTTTACGACGCTTCGCCTAACGCGGACAAAAGTACGCAGAAGTCGTAGGGCAAATAGATGCAGTGCAATAAGTAGCTGCGTGCAGTGCTCTGTGTGTTCTCTGATCTATTCATAGTTTATGAGACTGATTCTTACTACTTCCACGGTAACATCATAAAGACGGCAATATCTTGAATACTTTGAAATGGGCCAAACATTTCTTTGATCGTGTCGTTGACAGTGTTCCTCCAATAATTTCTAGGAAAAAATATAAAGATTTCTTAAGAAATGCAAAAGGCTGAGATTGTATATCTCTCAATGTTATTTTGTTGCCAATTAATTAATGCAAAAAGTTAAATAGATAGCAATTACGAATATTTTGAAAAAAAGAATGTTTTGCACGTATATATATATATATATATATATATATGTGTGTGTGTGTGTGTGTGTGTGTGTGTGTGTGTGTGTGTGTGTGTGTGTGTGTGTGTGTGTAGTGTATACAAATTTAAGAGTTTATTAAAGATAAAATTCACAATTATAATTATTATAAATTAAAACAAAGGTATCATAAAATTTCTTCCAAAAAATTTAATTTTTAGATGTTCCTCTTCGGGTTATCGGTCGAATATCTGGAAAACTAAACGATATCGAATTTCCCTCGAGAGATCTTCAATGCTATGTACAAACCAAAGATGGAAGGACATATACCGCCTTATCGAGAGTACCTGAAGCAATCGGTGCTAGTTTCCAACTTTTGGGCAATTTGGGTGGCGTGATTGGCTGGCTATTCGCGAAACCTGTTAGCGATACTGAAAATGGATACGAGCTTACAGGCAAGAATTTTATATTATATGAATTACAGAATTTCTTTCGAAATAGACTATCCGTTAGACATAGTATATATATGTTAAAATTTTTTTATTTATTCAATATTCTGTACCAATAATATATAATAAAATGTTTCTTTAGATACATCAATAAATAATAGAAACTATTCCACATAAAAATAAAATATGTTAATGATATTGAAGATCATCGTATGTAGTCATGTTAGTACCTTAACAAACTTGATAAATTCAAATGTCTTAGAATGTATTTACAAGATTGCCGAAGGAAAGCAGGTTTACAATTACGCAGGTATTCATACGAGCGTGTTTCACGGGCAGGCGGCTTATTCAATCACACGGCGGAACTGGTCTTCCCATCGAGCGGCGACAAAGTGACAATACGCAGCAATTACCTTGGATTGGATGTCTTCGGTCAGCTGAAAATGGAAGCAGAGATCACAGGTACGGTGCCACATCTAGACAGAGACGCAAAGGTAGACTACGGCGATTACGACGAGCTCTACACCCGCGCCCAGCCAGGAGTGATCCTTTCCCAAAGCGAGCGTACCTGTAAAGTTTTGCGAGGCGGCGGGGACGAGCGGGAGATTAACTTCAAGCTGGATCAGATAATTAGTTATCAGGAGTGTCCATACGCTATCTTCGATCCTGAAGACGACACGACCAGGCTGAAGTTTTTCAGGGGTGTTACTGCTTACGAGAGCACCGAGGGCATTATTCGATTTGCCGTCAATACCAAAATAACACCTCTCGAGGAAGAGGACCCCTGTATTCAAGGACGACAAACATGCGGTGATCACAGCTCTTGCGTAGTCGACGGAGATAGCTTCAAATGTGTATGTAACGCAGGGTGGGTATTATTAATGATTGTTCTTACAAAATTATCTTTATAAGAAAAATTCTTCTTTTATTTTACATATATTCGAAAAATCATTTTTCAGATATATACATAGATATATTTTTGCAAAAATGTTTTATTAATTTTGTCAAGGTATCAAATTATAATTTTTTAATTGATGTAATCAATAATATTTATTACATCGTTTGACTGAGAAGGTATCAGTATCTATACGAAGAGGATGGCAGTGCGATTTGCGTAGACGTGAACGAATGCACAGCCGGTAATCACATGTGTTCCCCAGACGCTCAATGTATTAATCAAGAAGGAAGTCACATGTGCCAATGTAGAACTGGTTTTACGGGAGATGGTCGTGTCTGCGAAAGTAAGCGTATTCATATTTATTTTATAATAAATTATCATTTTCTAACACCGCAATTACCGTACTGTGATAACATCTGACAAAGTCGATCAAATTCTTACTGCTGATAGCAATGAAAATAATCTTTACATCTGACAGTACTTTTGATCAAATGTTTTTCTTACATTATTAATCTTCAATTTTGAAAATATGTAATGTATAAAATATTATGTTCGTACACATATATTAAATATTTAATTGAGTTCGTGTTTATCTTAGTTTCATCATCTACTTAATTATCAATATCTAGCTGTACAATATTATTTATAATGCAGGATTGCCATCATGCGAAGACACACGTTGCGGAAATTATGAACAATGTGCAATGATCGGAGGTACGCCAACGTGCATTTGTATACCTGGTTTCGAAGAAACGGATCAAGGCTGTAGTGTCTCTCAGCATGGTAAAATGTTTTTTATAAATTTATATAAATTTATATAAATTATGACAGGAGATTGTTAATCACTGATTTACTGATAAGCGCGGCAACTGTACTTTCACAGTATCTTGTAACGAGGAGGATAACTGTTCTCCATACGGACTCTGCAGTTTCGACGGAAATAGGAAAATGCACGTATGCATTTGTATGCCAGGTTACGTCGGTGAGTGAGGAAACTCAAAGGAATTTTTTGCCTATCGTTGATATTATGCAGAAAAATAAATATTTATAAATAAACTTTAAAAATATAAATTTATAAGTATAATATTGATATCCGAAAAATGATCCATTGATTTTAAACCACTCATTTTATTCGTATATTTAAAAAAATATTTAATAATTTGTATCTGAGATTCTTCTATTAACTCTTTCTTATAAATCCGATTATATATCATAAATTTTTATATTTTAAATGTGAGTTTTATAACGCAATTCGAAACTAGAGTAATTAAATTGAATGCATGCGACATATGAATTAACCATTATTTGTCGCAACAATTGTAAACATTAAACACACGCGACCATATTGCAATTTGCAAAGTGTTTTCTGTCTGTTATTCACATATGCGATTATTTACAGGCGATGGGTACACGTGTTACTCCGAGTCCGATACCACCACAACAGACGAACCGCCGCAACCGCAGTGCGTGATTGGGATGTGTTGGTGTCCGAGTGGTTGGGAATTCCGCAACCATGCCTGCGTGAAGCAAGAGGGAGAATACACGACAGTTGACTATCGAGACTGTAAGTTGCATGAAAAATGATTCCATGATAAATCGTATGCTAACTTTTCGCGTAACTTTTCGCGAAAAGAATTTTTAACTTGGAGACTTAAGATTTACACGATTTTTTCCCGCATTATTTGTACATCATAGCTATTGCGCATATGGCATGTAGTAGAGAAATAATTCTTAAGCATTAATAATTTAATTGCACAAAGCTGCTAATTAAGCAGTAATAGAAATTCTTTCTGTTGAGATGTTTGCATCGATAAAAGGATGATCCTTGAAAAAAATTGAAAATACCGAAACACCGAAATTATATTTTAGATGCAATTCAGATAAGCAACAAATGTCTATATAACAACAAAAAAGAGTAATATATTATATTAATGTATTAATTATTAATAATATTATATTTTAAAACAACTCATGATTATACTATATATCTAGTAAATGAATCATAGTTTATAATAAAGTATAGCGTCACAAAAACAAAAGCAAAACCAACAAATTAGTACGAATAGCAAAATTTTCGTTTGTAGTGAAACAATTATGTTAATTTAATAGACGCTAAATGTTTTATATTGTTATAGTAAGGTTTGCTCTAGCACTGCATTTGGTGCATTTTTTTCGAGGATCATTTTGATAGAAGTAAAAAGTAAAATATAGATGAGAATTAAAACAATTCGCAAATGAATTGCATGATGTTCAACTGCATGCAAATAAATTAACATAACTTGAACCTGGCGATGTAAAAATCAATATTTAATAACGTACGAGATTACGATAGTTAATAGTATGCGACGAACATCGTTCGTCGATGCATCATGCGTTTTAGTATCAGCACATCCGCTCCCCGGATGCTTCGACGACGTCTGCATATGTCCCTTGGGATACGATTACGACCATTTGGAACGAATTTGCGTTCCACAGCCAGGATACCGCCACGACACGAAGGGTCCATCAGGATCTAAGCGTACGACGCACTCACCGCTTAGCTTTAATTTATTTATTAATAAGCATTTATTCATTAATAAGCATTAATATATTATAAGTTGCTTTGCATACCAGTCTCTTTAACAAGCTTGTGATGTCGGTATTAACGTTATTTTTATGTGGTTGTTTTAATTTTATCAAGTTGCAATATTCCTCTTAGCTAACCGCGTAATTAATAAAAATGCTTGCGGGCTCGTACATTCAAACACGCAGAAACTAAAAATAATATTTTTAACAACCAAAATTCTCAATAGTATAACGAAATCGGTCAACAGCCTTTGTTAAAACTCAATATAAAGTTTTTGTACGTAAATTCGCACAAAAAATTATATATCTCGAATCTCATCGACACACGCAGTGCTAACAAGAAAAAAGCCCTTTTTATAAATAAATGTACTGAAAGTTTTGCCATCTTCTAAGTCCTTAAACTCACTTTTAGAAAGTTGTGATGCGCAAGCTTTTTAGTAAATAGCACGATGGAAGATACCTCGGGAAATTGAGAAATGTGTCTATGTGCATGTAATACTCTTGAAAGGGAACTATGAAATCGTTTTCGCAAACGTGATTGAAATATTCTAATTTCATTAGACGGTTAATATTCATGCTATAAATAATGCAGAAATATTCTGTCTTGCAATACTCTTTAGGTATGAATGAATAAATAAATAATTTGATTTCAAGGTGGATGTTTATCTCGAAAAATATTTTCGATGTTCATTCGAGATGCGAGCTGCAAGCCGCACATCAAAATAAATATCGATATTCTGATAGATGATAGTGATAAAATAATGCATCACAACTTGTATATTTTCTGAACAATATCTTTTCTCAAAACTTTCATCTCATGCTACGTTCATGATATTGATATTGATTTCTCTCAAAACGAAATAAATAGAATTTTTCAGATCATCGCTGTTACGTTTGTTCGAGAGAATATTCGAGAGTTTCGAAATATCTTATATACACACGATTACCAGAAGAATTATTCTCGACAAGAATCATAACTTTTCACAAATATCATTGCGCGCTCATGAAATCGCGAAGATCTCGCTATTTCCATTAAATTTTTTGATCTCGCTATCGGGACAGCCAGCTATCATCGCCGCTTGCCGTGCCATGTATTATAATCGCGCACACGCTTGTGTCCAGTATCTTGCAACGTGGTGAACAGGTGTCATCCCTACGCCCAGTGCATTTATGTGACAAGTACCAGCAATTATGAGTGCCGCTGCAATCCGGGATACGAAGGCGATGGTATGGAATGCACCAAGACAGGTATGTGCAAAGTGTAAAGTGCATCTTACATCTGTATTTAGCAAAGCCATAATAAATAAGGATATTGGAGAGCGCACTTTAAATATTTTCTTTTAAAGTTACCTTTGTACATAAAAAGTTTTAAGTAAATCTTTCACGTGTGCAAAAAGATAAGATTTTTTCAAATTTTGTACACTTTCATTTCACTTTCATTTCAGTATATAAAGGATAAAGTTTAGTAACATTAAACATTTCATTTCAAAATAAATTGCGCTTTTTGATATTCTTGCGTAATTCTATTTTTCTAAGATAAAAGCCTAAATTGTGAGAGCAGTGAAGGTATGTTGATAATATAACGATATGATTTCTTTTTCTTCTTCTTCTTCTTCATACAGAGGTCTCCTGCTTGGAAGTGGATATCTGCGACCCCAACGCGTCCTGCCAGCATGAGGAACCAATGGCAAAGTGCGTGTGCAATCCAGGATATGAAGGCGACGGAACAACATGCAGTCCTATCGGTGCTTTCATTTCACCCATATCTTTTTTTTTCAATTTTTCTTTCGCTCATTTTGCGCCATTGCATACGTCGCACGACGCATTTCGGAATGTCAATGCGATTTCTTTCTTTCGATCGATGATTCTCTCAATTGCGCATACACATTGCCTCCTTTGCCTTTCGCATTGCAAATCGAGAAACCACAATCATGATCGAAACTTTTAGTTCGACTAGCGAATTCAAATGGGAATAAAATTTGTCTTTTGTACATCGCGCTGTACAATTTGTATGACACGAATCGATGCCGGCTGACATTCTCCTTATGTTTTAGACGAGTGCAACGATAATTCTGAATGCGAGAAGAACGAACAGTGTACCTATCACCCTATGACCTCGCGCTACGAGTGCACCTGTAAATCCGGATTCAGCGTAGACGCGGAGGATCGATGCGTGCTATCCGATTGCTCGACGAATCTTTCTCAGTGCCACGTAAACGCGCAATGCGTCCCGTCCGACGACGGCGGCTACAAATGCGTCTGCATTAATGGTTATCATGGCGATGGTATGCGCCAGTGCGTGGAGGACCATATCGGCTGTAATGTTTTGAATAACTGCGGTCGAAACGCAGTTTGTGGATACAATCAAACGTCCGCGAATTTTGCGTGTGTTTGCCAACCGGTGCGTACAGATGAGTATCATATCGTCATGTAAGATAATCAAGTTTGTTGCGCCTGGAATGTCCGTGCATTTCTGCACTCTACATTTCTGTGCACTTCTGCACTCTACATTATGCCGTGTGCCGCGCACACCGTGCGTAAAAAGAGATAATTTTAAACACATTTTAATTTTAAAATTTGAAAATGTTCCTTTCAAGAATCTCAGACATACGGTTAATCACTCGAGAGCAAAAGTAAACTCATTCTCAAATTACATACAAAATACATACAACTGTCTAAAACAGTTGAAAATGTAGATTAAAAAGAGATACTTGTTTTTAACAATGTAATGTATCGTAGTAACTTTTTCTCTCTGCTTTATAACGAAAGGTAATTTATAAAATAATTGCAATCTGATCGCTTTCAGGGTTACTATGGTAATGGTTTCACGTGTCGGCCGCAATTCTCGTGCAGACACGATCCAAATCTCTGTTCTTCCGACGCAACATGCGTGTCGACCGGTGAAAATCAGTTCTCTTGCGTTTGCAACGAGGGTTACGTGGGCGACGGAATAAATTGTAAACGCCAGCCAAAGCACGACTCCAACTTTTTACTGGTGAATCAAGGAATGGCTACGCATCGAATACCATTCATGCCCACGCAACAGAATCCAGGAAATCCAATCTATATAGCTTACACGCAAATGGCAATAGCTTTAGATATCGATTGCCTTGGCGGTAAAGCTTATTCCAGCGATATTACTGGTAAATTTTTATTTCGATGAGTCTATCTTCTCCGAATTTATCAGTACTATATATCCATGATGATTAAAATTAATTCTCGTTAAAAAAATTAAAAAAAATATGATTAAATAAAATAAATTTTATAAAATAATACATCAAAAATTTTGAATAAAAAATATAAAATTCTAAATATATTTTACAACAAATGTGGCACACAGCTTTCAATTGGATTTATTATTAACACATTTCTTGAATGTCGATATATTGAGAAAACAATTACAATCTGAGAATAGGATACCTTTGTAAGATAAAATCGCAATCTATTTCACAGGCAACAGAATAGTGGAACTATCTTATAACGGATCGATGGCAGAGACATTTATTCCGAAAGTTAGCAGTCCCGAGGGATTGTCGGTCGATTGGGTCTCGAGGAACATCTTCTGGACCGACTCAGGTAAGACGACCGTCGAGGTTGCCAGTCTAGTGACAAAGAAACGCAAAGTCCTCGTTTCCGATGGACTGGTCAATCCAAGGGGAATAGCTGTTCATCCATATCGAGGGTAAGTTTATCCATACTAGGAAATCTATTTGCAAAATAGCAAATTATTTTACGTTACATATTTATAATAGAGATTTGAGCTCTTCGTCATGTAGTATTTTATATCTACAGATTAAGTAATTTTAAATTATTAATAAAAGTGGTAACAAAATGTCAATATAATTTTAATCCTGTAATCATATCTCTCAACGACAGGTCTATTGAAAGTATCACGTTATAATATCATCAATGTAATCTTTTTATATTTAAATTTTCCAACGAATATTTCTATTTCAGAAAAATATTTTGGTCTGATTGGAATCGCGCCTCCCCCAAACTGGAATGGGCTAACGAAGATGGAACAGATCGAGCAATCTTCCTTCAGGGTGATTACGTTAAGCTACCAAATTCATTAACTATCGATTGGGCGACGGATGAGCTGTGCTGGGCCGATGCCGGGACGTTCACGATAAGTAAATATAGATTTTAATCACGTGAGCGCGTCGAAATAGCATCCATTAATCTTAGTAGGAAAATGTCTGACAACGCGATTACGTTTCATTACTATGAAGCTTGCTACCTTAACAAATAATCTCTTGTTTTTAGGTTGTATTGAAATAGACAGTAAGAAAGTCACTGTTGTCGCTAATGAACTTACTTATCCATTCGGCTTGGCAATTTCTCAAAATCATTACTATTGGACCGATTGGAAAACGTAAGGGAATAAAATATTCATAAACGTGCGCACAGACACATACGGACAATTCAAAAGATGCTATAAAACAAAAGTTTTTATATTATATTCCTTTCATTGCAGACATAAAATCGAAGTCGGCATGAAGACTAATGGCGAAAGACGCACACCATTATCTGTCCCGCCAGGTGGAAGTGGGAAGCTATATGGTATCGTGGTCGTTCCCGAGTCATGCCCCAGAGGTAAATTTTTCATCTCCATAAAGATGAATTCTTCATAATTACATATTTCTTCGTATAATTTCGTATAATTTCAGAATTTACTATCCTAATCAAGTTTTGCCAAAACTAGAATTAAAAATTCGAAATTTTCTTAACTTCAGTTCAAAAAGAAATTCTCTGGAGAATTTAATATCGTTAAAAGTTTACGAGATCGTTTGTTTGCAGTGACAAATGTGTGCCAGTATGACAACGGAAGATGCAACAAAAATCAGCTTTGTCTACCGGACGGCCAAGGCGGCAGAACGTGTGCATGCGCGGACGATGCGGTAGGATCTTGCACCGACTCCCATTATCCGTCTTAAATCCGTCCTCGAGCTTGTACGGAAAAAAAATCAACGCAAAGTTCCGCGTCGCGTCTGACATTATAGTAGATGATAAGAAAATCTCGCACTGATGCTCACATCGAGCTAAAATCGTAATAACCACTAGATCAAGTGTAAATTATAACATTATTCTTAATATTAATTAACTGTCACCGACATTCTTAAATAACGTCTACTTTTGTATCTATCAGTCGCACCGCGCGGCACAAGCTATACTGCGATCTTATTTAATAAAAGTAAAGGAAACAGCGAACGAAGCTTTGCACTGAAATTTTACACGATTGACCAATTCCATTTCCCTCTTCTAAATCTTTTCCGAGTTTATTCGCTTGATTAGCTTCATAATTAACTAAAAAGGAGAAAAAAATCAAAATCAAAAGAATCTTATATAAGACTGCTTTATAAAAATTAACAATTATTACCATCCTGACGTAGTGGAGTAAAATCCAATTAATTACGACCACTGTAACTATATTCATTTCATTTTCCATATTTTTAACATCAATATATATGTATATGTTACATATATAATGTTAACACATTGTTATTTACATAAGAAATAAAAACTAATTAAATAAAAGCAAATTACTTTTTACTCAAGATAAATTATATCACAAAATTTTAAAGAATAAAATATTCTTTAATGCTCTTAACATAACGAATATTTTCTTGTCAAATACTTATTTTAAAAATATGATATTTAATATGTGATCGGAAGAAAAGAAATTGAAAGAGCAATACGATAAGAAGAGAATAAGAAAGTGACATAAGAAAGAGAGAGATAAGACAGTGACCTCAAAAACTGACAAAGAACTTGATCCTCTTCAATGGACTTTCATGCACTTTCGTGACAAGAATCTCTTGAAAATGCATGTCGATAGATCTTCTTGTCGTTTTGCAATATAATGATAAAATTCTAAAAATAGATGCAAATTGATGCAAATCGAACCAAAAGTACTATTTCATTAATACTCTTCTTTAAGCAATATTACAAAAAAATGACATTACATAACGGGCGAAGCCAAAATAAGAACGGCTTAAAATAAATCGGAAGGCCAACGCGTCGCACGTAAGAAGCAGAAAAGATCATAATATTTCTTTTTTAATATATTTAATGGTATTCACATTTCTATTCAAATAAAATAGTGTAAAATAAAAATTGTTCAAAGTTAAGAACAAATAGTCTGCGAAATTAAGCAACTATCTCTCTGAAAATTAACGAAATTCGACAGTAACTTTGATTTAAATAATAATAATAATCTTATACAGATTATCAGCATATTAACATCATATAAAATATTTTAACTTTTGAATTTAAAGATGTCCAATGTTTTAATCAATAAGTTTCTTGAGATTGAAGTAATGAGATGACTCTGTTAATGTTTAAATTGATTATTGTACACTGCAAATGCTATTTGCAATATACATGAATAAATATTGCTTATTGATGTTTAGTGATCCGCAGGCGTTGAACTGCGTGATCTACTTGCGTGAATTGAAAAAGAAGATTGGCCATTGGCCATTGAAGTCTGTCATCGACAGGTGCTCAATCAGACTATTACGCTATAGCTTTTCAATAAGAACGCTCGTTCTGGAATGTAATACTTGCCCACGTACAATGTTCTATCATCAGATTACTTTAATTATAACCAGTATTAACATTCACCAAAGTTTAATACAATCGAAGATTACTTTTCAATGTTTGTCCATAATACAATAGATGAAGTTAATTGTATTGAATAAATAAAAGCATGTAAATAAAATATATATCGTATAAATATCTACTACTGGCTATTTATATTACGTACCAAGAAATATTTTATTTAATTCTTTTTATCCTTTAATTATTAACAACATTATAATAAATAAACATTTAAAAATTTTGGGAATAAAAAATATTGATATTTAAATCAATTTTTTTAGATTGGTTATTTAATTTCCATCCAACACAACAGTTTCATCTACCGCAAATTAACTAAATCGCAAACTTCCGTGAAGAAGTTATGGCTAACAATTATCGCAATATAATTGAAATGACCTCCCAAAGTTTGCTATAAATGAGAAGAAAAAAGTTATTAATTTCGCTTCTATCATAATGTCATAAAATTGACATTCTTATAATTAAAACTCTTATCGTTAATCTTCTCCTGCTGATAATTTCGAGTTTACTGAAACTTAAAAGTCAAGAAGAGAAAGAAAAAAAACATTATTTTCTGTTTGACTGAGTTATAAATCTTATTCTCTTCTCATTTACTTAACAATTTGGTAAACTACATTTTCTTCATTCCTTATAAATAATGTATAGCAAGAGATTATAAGAGTCGACTGTTTTTTTACCATTTCATTATCACACTACAGAAAAAGATTACCGACTAAAGCAAAAGATTAAAACAGTATTTAAAATTAACAAATAAAAAAAATATTGAATACTCATTGTACATCAAATATAATTTGCGCACAGCATGCGTAATATCATTGAATATGCAAGAAATAAGAAATTTTACTCGCTTGAAAATTCGTATTATACCGATGCTACTTCGAGTTTAATGTTTCAAGTCACGCTTGAGATACATTTTTAGCGTAATCAGAAAAAGGAAAAAGAAGCAATTATTACCGTGAATGCTTTCTTTCGGGCGGCTTTTATAAGAGCTTCACGCTAGAAGAGAGAGAATGTGGCCTCAAGTCTCAGGAGGATAATGCATCAGCGACGGGTGCGACGCGGACGGCGCCAGAAGAAGCGCGCAAGCGAGACAGTAGAAACAGCCACTGAGGCCAGACCACGGCTAGTAGTCAGTCGGCGGTCGGAGTCCGCGCGTGACGGGTCGCGAGGTGATAAGCTCGTGCTGCTTGCTCACTCGGTCGGCGGCGGCGCGACGTCACGATAGACTCCGCGCGCTCGCAAGCAGAAATACGTGCGTGCGTAACGCTTCGTGTGCAGTGAAAAGTGTGTTTTTTTTTTTTTTCGAATTGTACGTCATGCGTGGACTTCGCGTGTCTTCAGTGATCAAGCTCGGATTTTCGAGCGGGTGACGAGAATCCTCGCCCCGATACGGGAGTCCTCTCATCTGAATCGCCTCTCGTACGTACTATCCATATGGGAATCACGCGAAACGCGCATTCGTAATTCCTCAATTAAATGCGAGCACGCGTCGGAAGACACACGCACCGATAGCGGCGGTGGTGGTGGTGATCTGGACCGATGCATCTCGATGGCACACGCGACAAAAATATCCACGAAAGATCTCGGCATCTCGCCAAGCGGCCTCAAGAGCTACCGTCGATGTAGCTTTGATAAGATAATCCCGTGAGAGATAGTCATGGTGATATAATAGCGCGTCGATGAGCGCGGCGAAACTAAACGCATTCACGCGATATTATTTTCTCTATTACGGAAACGGGGGTTCGAAAAATCTGCGGAATGATAACGGCAGTTCTCCTGAATGTTGAATCGACGTTACGTGCCAAGGAACGTAATAAACGCGGTCCTTGACGTCCGCGTTCGTATTGAGGTTCCTTCTTACAAGAGGACGAATTTCACGCGAGCACGAGACGGCATAAAGGCGTCCCCGCGTCTAGCGTTTATGGAGCTCCGAGATTCCTCGGAAATTATACTGCGCCCGAATGCAGACCGCGGAGGGAGATACGGAATGAGCGCATGAATGCACGGCTATTCTTGAAGAACGTTCGCGGCAGGAGCTGTGCACCGTTTCCTAACAAAAAGAGTCACACGTCAGCTACTGAAAGGGAATACGTGCGCGTAGAAAGGAAACGTCAAGTATTCTAGGCACGCGTGTATGACAACGAAAACTCGTTCACCTGATCATTCCTTCATTCTTCGAAATTTTTCCAATTGCATAAGTCGTACGTTTCGAACGTGACGTAAGTCAAATCTCGAATCTTTCCCATCTAATAAAATACTTAACGTATTAATTTATTTATTAACATTTTTCTTGATATTAATAAGATATTTATAATAACTTAAGAATTCAGAAAAGATGACATTCCACACATGTGTCACGTTTCTATCGATGCTATGAAATTCACTACTCTGATTAACTAGCTACATGTCAATCGTGTTTATGACAAAAAGAATTTGTAATCTTATAATTAACTTTCTAATTGAGTTGTTTAATAATATTAATTTTTCGTACTTTGCAAGCAACAATAATAATCCCGGCACTGCTTATGATAATTCTTGTTGTATTGCTTGTTTGTAAAAATTCTACATACAAATTAGTAATTATAAATTCCACTGCCTACATTTATAAAAGATCAATCATGAATAAATAAATTAACACAATTTACACGAGACAACAATCGAAATAACGTGCTATTTGATATGACGTCTTGTTACGAGATTTCTTTAAAATTATTATTATTTTTCTGTTGCTTACAAATTCGAGTAAAAACCAAAAAAATATAATTACCGAACACACGAAAATACAACCACTAATCGAAACATGGAAATGTGAGAAAAACTGCTACTTTTAAAAATACGAAGTAAAATACAAAATTTCTTCAAAATAAAAATCTTTTATATTTTCTTACTGATTTATTAATCTTGCGAATTGTTAAAGTTTTCTCGGTTAAAAACGTGTGGTATTAGACATAATTGGAAAAGATTTAACACGTAAGAATATCATATGTGTATAAAGAGCCATCATATATGTCAAAAATAGACAATTGATCGAATTATTGCAGAGATTGATGAAATTCCGATGAAATTCAAAACCACGTAGACGAAATTCGTTTCTGCCAAGTAGCTCTTCGCGAACCCTTTCATGCATATTCATTTGCGGATAGAAAAAGAAGATGATAATACTCATAAATACAGAATTCTTTGCAATATGACGATTCTTATATGCAAAACTTACAAAACGAAAGGTTGGCAATTCTTATCCAACATGAATATGAAAGCTTTTATGATAATCATAGTTTTCTGATATTGTCTCTTGTTGAGCAAAAAGTTGATAAATGTAAATTTATGTCAGCAAGTAACAATCTTTTTTATAATAAATTCCTACTCAATAACTCTTATGAATATTTTTTCTTTCCTTTCAAATTATTTTTGCATTCTATACAAATTATGAAATTTATGAGACATTTCACTCTTTACTCTTCAGATAATTCCGCATCAGATAATTTCGCATAGAATGTTACGAAATATGAAGATTTTTATAAAACTTTGTGCTTTAAGAGTGTGAAATATCTTTGATAAAATAATATATAAAAAAAACTAAAATAATCGATATAAAGTCTTAGTGAAAAGTTTATATTTTTGACATTTTGTAGCGCGGAACGGCGCCGCAGTGCCGTTGAGTGTCGTGCGATTTTTACAATTCGCTCTGTTGACGCCGTGGCGCGAGTTAAACGACCGTTTTTATTTCCCGTAGAGAAAAAGTGATTCCACGCTAGAAAAGAGAGCGAGACTGAAAGGGCGCGAAACATAGGAAACTCTGAGGAATAATAGCACTGTTCACGTAAAACGTACGTTCGTTTTTTTAATCTATAAAAAATTACGAATGACGTGAAACGCCTTGCCACAATTCGTTAAATCAGAGTATCCGTTGGCCTGTTTGCCATGAAGTATCGACTCGATTGTCACTTTTTATCATGTCACGACACGGCAGTAATTCAGCTGTTTCCATTATTCACAGAGTTTCCATTATTTGCGAATGTAATCCATATTATTCCTTAGAATCCTTTCGCTTGTGTGAAATATGTATGTGTTATTTACTTACCTAGAACATTACGAAGGAAATATTTATATATGCATATATAAATTTCTGTCGCCACTAGTTACATAACAGCTTATTATCTAGCACATCGTATTAATTCGCGAATTTCTCTAACAGATTATGCATAAATCTACGAATAAAAATGAATATATATTTATAAAAGATTTTCTAAAACGCTTTAGCAATTTTACATCAGTGTAAATCTAAAAATAGTGTATAATGTTAAATAACAAATTTTTATACGTAAAAATGCTTTTCTGAAATCGAATATTGCTAATCGCAAAAGATGTGCCTCACAGCGATAAGACAACGGCAATAGTATAACTTACGAAAAGAGAAATTCTTATCAGTTTTCCAATTTTACCATCGCTTCAGTTCTTCAGGACGCAATTGTCACGAAAATCCACGACGGTCGTGGTGCGGTGGGCACGTATACATACGAACAGACGCATATAAAGCAGATGTAGGATTGTACAGGGTTACACACACACACACACACACACACACACGCGCGCGCGCGCGCGCGCGCGCGCGCGAAAATTCTTAGTCCGTCTTGTATTATGTCTTCTTACTAACTTCTGTCAGCGATAGCATTCACTGCTTCTGTTATATTCACCATAGTGATACTATCTGGCGGGTGTCAAGTTGTATTTCACTTGTAAATTATTTTTCCCACGAGTCTATCTCTCGGCACCTCGTCCGTCCGTTCGTTCGTTCGTCCGTCCTATCTACCACCCTCTGCTCCCCCTAGCAAACGCACCTCTAAAATATTTATGTTCACAGATATCGGGGCTTCGAGTCCAAATCGCCAGGCCACCGCACGCGAGAGTGCCGCGGGTCGATTAATATCGAGCTACCTGGTCAAATCGCATTCGGATCGGTTTGAAAAAAAAGAGAAGGAAAAAAAATCCGTCATTTTGGGACGCATGCCGGGGGCTCTTCACGCAATCGCGTATTGCGAATCGGTTCGTGCTGAATTGCCACGAATTTCAGAGATCGCGTCGCCGTGGGAAATTAATCGAACGTGAGTGTGTGCAGCTCGAATGACGAAAGTGGCTGTTCTCCGGATGCCGAAATTTTCCTGAATCCGGTGAATACCGCATTGGAAGCGCCGAGTGTAGCCAAAAAGGAGTACCAAGTGGAAAGGCTCTGTGCGTGAGCGGACGAACCGGATAAACAGCGCGTACGCCCCACGTGGAAGCCCGGAAGAACGTTAAATGAATGTTGTTACGGCGAGTGTTGGCGATCGCGACGAGAAAATCGAGGAGACACGGCAGGATCGCCCGATTTAAATTCATAGATGTGCGAGCGGACGGGTCCACAATGGTGGCTCGGCTCCCGCAACAAGTTCTGCTACTACTCGTACTCGGTGAGTAAGAAACACCCGTGGGTATTCCAACAAATATGTCTTACAAAATAATCGCACTTTCCTTCAATAATATTGAATCCCAAAACGAGAAAATAAGGAAGGTTGATAACATATGTATGTTTTGTTGAACAAACAAAACTTTGTGAAAGAGAATTATTTTCGTGCCATTTAAACTAAGAAATCAATTTTGAATATTCGTCAACAACATTTTATTATTGAAGATAATGTGACAGCTGGAAAAAACGATCTACATAAGATCTACGCTCTATCAAAAATATAAATTTAGTATAATAATGTTTCGAAAAACTGGAATAATTTACATTACCCGATCGTAATTTGTAAAAAGAAACACGTATTAATAATAATTTCTGAAATATTTATATTTTTTAATTTTATAATTTTTAATATTTTGCATTTGTTTTCTTTAATTATTTCAATTCAAAATTATGAAAAAGATATTAATATCTTAACATTCCATCAGTTGGTACACATATTTTACAAAAATTTATTGTTCTTCGAAATTCCATTTACGCCACGTACAGAATAAGAGGCTCGTATATCCTCTATATTTAGGCACCAACCGAGTTAACCGGCCATGTGTATACACGCGTGTAGGATAAACGCATATAGCGCCAGCTGATTTAACGCTTTCGTCGTTTTCTTTTTTTCTTGGCGACGCCCAGTACGAATTTGCGTCGTATCGAATTTCGGTGTTGCGGCATTTTGAAGGTTTGTCTGATTAAGGATACAAAGAAGATGCAATCGAATAAGAATTTTTATACTTCATATAAGTCTATTCATTTTTGTACACAAACAATATTTTCAACATTTACAATATTTTATTATATAAGAATTTTTTAAGATTAAAACGATCATAATTATATGATTTGAAAAAAAGCTTTAAAAATTGTATTAAATATAATTTCAATTTAATTCAGCGAGTAACTCGCAATGTTTAATGCAAAAAGTAATTTACATTTACAAAAAGTAAATTTTATAAATGTTTAAATAACTTTTACAAATTGCATTTAGATAAATGTAATGTTAAAATAGTGATATATATATATATATATATGAGTTATTATCGGGATAAAAATTAGTCAAAATAAAAAGAAAAACTTTTACGTGAAATATGATGTGAATATTATTTAATCAAAACTATTTTTGCGTTTTTATCGAGTGATGTACAAAACGGACGGAGATTAGATGCACACATAAAATTCATATATTTTAAGACAATCTCCTGTTTCTATCGCATACTATCTATTGCCAGTTTGCTTTGCATGAAAACGCACCGTTGAATGACATCGTGCAATACGCCGAGCTTATCGAACATGAAATTTTTTGCTTGATCCAAGTCCAGATCCGGTATGGATTTAAGACGGTACGTTCGGCTAATCCGCCTTAAAGGCAGAATAGCGGGGCGAGAAGTGGAAGTTTAATTAAGCCAGATTACAGGGACCGAAATGAATAAAGTTTCATCAAAGAGGATCACGAAAGACACTTCGCTACGAGAAAGATTCGTTTCAACTGAAGTAAGATCGAACGTCACGGTGGCAATGAATAATACAATAAATAAAACATTAGGCTACTCATATACATCGCACGTAATAATTGTAATTACGAATTTCTTTTCTTTAGAAAGAGAACATTAGATAATTTCTAATTTGCCTTGAAATAAAACAAAGATTCTTTCAAATTAAAACTGAATTTGTTCTATGCACGGTAAAACCAATTTAAAAGATTAAAAAAAAATAAATAAATAAATGTAAATAAATCAATAAATAAAGATAAATAAATTGCATGAAAAATAAATTCTCGATGCTTTTAGTCAATAATACATATGTATGCTAAAGCAATTTAATTATATCGCACAAGAGACATTTAAATATCGATGGCATTACTTTTTCGTAATTACATTCAATTTTCGCATGTATAAAACACAAAACTTCAGTGCACAAAATTTCAATGCACTGACATATATGTCAGTGACGTGACATATATGTCTATATATTAAAAAATTCTGTCCAATTTTGCGAATCGGTTCACATAGTCGTTCACGCATGTACGGCATTTTTTTCTCGCGGTCGATCGATAACATCGGGCAAACGCCGATGGAGAGTCCTTCTCGTTGATCACGTAGTGCGTACTACCAGTTGCATCGTTAATTCACAGAGATACACTCGGCGAACATACCGCAATATCTCTGTATAGATAGCGATCGACTCTATCCAATTTACAGATTTTCTTGCCATTTAGCAAGTAAATCAAATCAGATAATATCGTTGCATATTATTCTAATTCATCTCAACAAACACTTTGTGATGCCAATTAAAAGGAATCGTTTGTGATATTGTAACAATAATTGATTTTAAGTACAAACGTGTCAAAACTGAAACGCACAAACTATACATATTATTTACAAACATGTATATAATTCACTTAATGACGCATATTGCAACGTAATCATATAAAATTAGAAGCGAAATTTATAATAAAGTTTATCTATTTAGTAACTTTATTTAGTAACTTTATTACTATTTCGATAAATATTGCAAATATTATTAATCAAAATTAGATTCTCTATACAAAAGAAAATCCTGCAAATTATTTCTTGAAATGTTTCTCTTAACAATATATATTATATAAATAGAAATTCTATAATAGAAACTAGAATTTAGAAAATTAGTGAAAAATAATAAAAAAAATTTGTATTAAAAAGAAACGAGGTAAATCACATTTGATTCAATATCCTTTCTATACAAACAGATTTACGTTCAGGAAACATTAATGAGCTCTTTGTTGATCATGTGTATCATTGTCACGTGATACCAGTTGCATTACTGATTCGTGGCTAACACTCAATTGCGGTTTACTATGCCACTTCTGCAATTTGAATGAAACGATTAACATTGCGCGCATCTGCTATGATAATTAAACGTTATTTAATATACATTTCGCAATTTAACATCGTACGAATAAAACGCTGTTTCCATAAAAAATTAACATTTTTCTAGTTGAAGTAGTTCTGATAGCCATAAAACATAGATCACCAACGATATGCTTACATTCGATTGTCCATTAACGTGATTGGCGTGCATTGCAGCATCGCATTGCAGATTGCACTTTACTCTACTGTGCATTGCGTATTGCCAGTAGCAATGTTACAACGAGATTCTCATCAAGCCATGTAACGTTTGTTGATCACACTCAATTTCGAGAAATTTTCGATATATCGCAGCCTTATACTGTTTCGTGTCAAGGACACATTAGTGTCTAGTTAATTACATACATGAACGTATGTTTGATAATTGAATCTTTCTCCAATTTGATAATCAATGTACAAATATCATGATTATACATGAATGTCAAAGGCTATTAGGATATAATATTGTTACATAAATAATTGCATTTCGTGTTAACAGATATTGAAAAATACATATAAAACATAGAAAAATATATATGACATATGAGTGATTGTAAAAATGTTACAACTGTATGTAAAGAATTTACGAGATTAAATTCTCGGCAAAGTCAATTTTTAAAACATCAGAATTTCTGATTCTGTGACACGTTCATTGTAAATATTAACAATTACTATCCTTTCTCTTGACTCCGTGTAAACACATTACACACGGTTTTGTTTTATTCTACTCTTTCCATTTGGAAAAGAAAGTACAATATGAAGTCTCGCAGGTTGAAAATATAAAACTGAGTCCTCGCTTCGTAAAGGGAAAAGCGTTCAATTTACATTCACAAACAAGGGATGCTTGATACATCTATCATCGTATTCAATTTTTCTTTTCTCTCTCATGTTCTTTTCTCGAAAACAAGCGTAACTATGCAAAGTTGATTTTGCATATGTATTTCTTTAGTTGACAAATCAATAAGAAGTTTCTCTTTATATATTCATCTTTCAACTTATGAAAAATCCCCGCGATAAAAGTTCTAAAAACAATATATTTCAAGTATAAGATCATCAATTTCAATTTAAAATAAATATCTTAGCTTGATTAATTTCTAGTTAGTTTCCAATTGGTTAATCAATATAGTTTCAATTTTTATAATTGAATAATTATATAATTATTCATGATTAAATTGAATAATTGGTAAATTATCAACAAATTTGTATTATAAATACAAAATTATCAAAAATTTTATTGCAGAGGCAAAATATAGAAATGAAATTTCCAAAAATTTTTCAGTTGCAATAAAATTCTATGATATTCTTAGATTTTCAAGGAAAATTACTAGTAATATTAATTAATAATGCAATTTTTATCAAAACATTGAATAGGAATTGAATTTTCTAATGATTTTGGATAAAAATGAATAGGACAAAATTTTTTCAATTACATGTCACATTTAATTTTAAAATTGCTACAAAATATTATGCAATTAATAAACGTTTAAAATCATATACTACATTTACAAGAATATAATTTAAAATTTACAGTCGAGAAATATTATATTGACAAAAGAATTGCAAGCTAATTAAAAGAAGATACCCAGAAATTTCATTTCTCAGTAAATAATCGGATTAAAAGAAATATAGCTAAATGTAATAATTTTACTCTTATTAAAGGCAAACGGATCTATAAAATAACAGGAAAACCAATATTAATTAAAAGTTAAGTCGCGTAACAAACCAGAATTCCCAACAATGAAAAGAATTCTTCCTTAAATTCATTTGTCTGCAAAAATAAAATTTCTTAGGGAACAATAAAATTATAGTGTCATGAACTATCATATGAGTTTCTCACATCTTTATTTCTGAAACTTCTTAAACATTATATTTTTTTACTTTGAACTTTATAATATCACCCACAATATATTGTTTACTCAACATTAGTCATATAATTATTAAAAATTATATAATAATCTTAAACATTTATGTTTAAAATTGTTATGATTTTTAATAATTTATCTACTTATATAAGACAAAGTATCTTCTTTGAGAAATAAATTATTTTAATACTTGAAATTAAAGATCATACTAA